GGTAAGAATTGCTTTTATGATTCCAACAAATCCAAGTATCTCACGCAAGCTTATAATCTAAGCCAAACACTTGAGGCCAAGCGAAAGATTAATCTATCACAGTAAGTTTGAGTGAGGAGCTGTTCTTCCTAAAAGCAGAGAACAGTCGTCAAACATTATCAAAAAGTAAGAAAGTACTGTCGTCTCAAAACAATACTTTGTTTTTTCATGCTACATTCGTTTTAAATAATTGCGTAAGATAGTATACGAGAATGGCTACAAGCATCAGTTGTAAATCTCTGCAAAGCAAGCAAGAAATTTATTGCCTGATGTTCCGTCGAATATCTTGAAAACGAATCTCAGTCCTTATCAAGTGCGTTGTATTGCCAAAGATCCTGCGATGTCCACACGGTGTTTACTATACAAAAAAGAAACAAAAACCTACCATTTTTCGACCGTGATGTTAGTGATCCCCACTGTTGGGCTGACGTCGCTGATTCAATGGTCAAAGCTATCAATACAGCGATTGTAGCTCTAAAATCCCTCGCTATGGATAGGCATTTATTTCGCTTATCAAACCCCAAATCCCTGTCGACACTCAAACTGTTTTAAAATTTGCCTTGCCAACATTTCGGCCTCACGAGCCAAAATTGGAGAAAAAGTTGTCACTATGTAAACCCGTTTTAGTGGTAGCGTTAAGTTTTTCGTCTTGTTCACCAAATGCTATTTTCGATCTTAGAGCTCTAACCATCTCTCTTGAGTAGGACCTATGATTCAGGCATTTATAGTAAAGAACTGGCTTTGCACAATCATTCACCAACTGCTTTCTCTTATTAATTATTAATCCTAATAAGCATGACACCATTCTAGTATAGTTGAGCTGAATTATTATAAAAATATAAAATCTAATTGAAATAAAAAGTATTCAGACAAAATCATATTTCTGCGCAGCTTGGCTTAGATCCAAAGTCAGTGTGTGAACTACAAATTGACTATGAATGTGTTTAAGCGTTATCCTTCTATTCTCTGCAGCAAGTTTCCGTAATGACTCATCATTCGTACATTCACTGCTGTTAGAAGCATGCAGTAGTTATGGTTTCATGACTATAGGATGGACAGACCGGATAATTATAAAAACATTTCCCAACTATTTCTTGCGGTTTCATCTTTTATGAAAAACACGATTAGGTGACAGTTTATCCGTACGTCCAAATAGGAACCAACCACCGTGCCGATTTTTTCTAGTAATTTTGATTGCGACAGCGCTTCATATCTATAAAACAAGGTCCATTTCGGATTGAATGGATGCTGCGGATGTAACGGTATCAGTGGTAAAGCGCAGCTCTAACTACTGAATTAGCTCATGAAACATACGCTAGTTACCGAAATGGCGATTGACTCATGGCTAACCGCTTCTCGGGAGAAACCTCCCAGAGCGGTTCTCTTAAAAGGTATACAACTATAGCCTACCACGTTAAGCCTCTGATGCTTGTCGAATTATCATAAGTACTGCAAGGATTTACGATTCCGTAGCTATCGTTTACTTCTATTCCAATTTCCTCTAAACTGTGGATGAGATTAACTTCAACATGACCGTAATCACAAATTTCTGAGAGACTTGTTCCATCGAAATGAACACAAGCTTAGGTCTTCCTGTTTGGAAATACCCTTTTTAGTCGTACTTATGGATGCTCTTCAAATCAGAACTCTTTAAAATCTCGATATGCTAGACATTCGTTTAGGTTTGGAGCTGCAGTCGAATCAGAAGAGTATGGAATCGTTTGGAATGATGAGATGGATGACTTCTCTACGCCTGGGATGGCCAACGGGTATGTTGGCATCAATTTGACTACGATCATCTCAGTGTTCGATTACCAGATTGCAAAAAAAACGTTTTTCCTTATGTAATCGGATAGTAAAAACAAGACGTTTAGCAAACGCTTAGCTGAAAAAAATTTCTTTCAAAGTTCTAAGCACAGGAATAAAAGGGATTCCTGCAACCATCATATTTTATAGCTCCGTTTTTCGAAGCTATAAAAGCTTAGGTTCGCTTCTGCTTTGTTATGCAGCTGTCTCAAAGTCATGCATAAAGCGTTAGTAACTTTCATCTCCGGTTTTTTCCTACTTATTTTCCATTCTTGAAGAGCGATCAGCGATTTGTTAAACATTTTGTAATTCAGAATACGAAGGCGAATGACGCCGAAACAGAGTAAATAAGAAGTCAAAGTGATTTGATTTTGACATCTGCAGTTCCACATCTTACTAGTAGTAAAATTCTTATAGAAAGTACTACAGCAAACGTGAAGTATTTTTTGATAAAGGAAATGTTTTGCAGATTTGGTTTTGCACCATCCGAGACAAATTTCATTCAACCTGGTAAGCGACCAATGAGCAGCATGAGTCCCATGGTTATATTCGACCAGAAAACCAGAGAAGTT